TGGGCTAATCCCAAATGCTGCTTACAATCTGGCAAGCAACTGGTGAGCTATTTCTAGTACTGCTGTGGTCAATAAGAAACCCAAGCTAGCCTAACCTGTTGCCGTGGAGTTGATTCTGACTCATACCGACCCTATAAGGCAGAGCTGCCGGTGGATTCGAACTGCCGACCTTTTGGTTAGCAGCCTGAGCTCTTAACCACTGTGCCTAAACAAGCTCCAAAAAGCCCAAACCCCAAGGTTTACCTCTGCAATTTGCAAACCTAATGGTTTTACTTAGGCTCTAATATTGAAGGCTGAAATATGGGGAAATCCTGCACATAGCCAACGAAGCTGTTGGCTTTGCCACAATTCTACACTTAAATGTTTTAATAATATTATTATCCCACAGGGGTGTCATGAGGATTAATGAGATCTTTTCAAATCACTTTGAGCTACTCAGTTGGGGGTACTAAATAAATGGTACGTGTTCCTCCTGAAGTGCCATTTTTGACATTGATTTGTTGTGGTGGGTTCTGCTGCCCAACAGTGCCAGACTGTGCCGACCAACTATTTTCCTGTAGACAATAGACTAGACGTCAGAAGGTTTCCAGTGAAAATAAATATGAATTGAAGTAAACTAGCCAGCAATCAGAAGCAAATAGGCTGCTATTAGAAATCTAGTATTTATTAAGCACTCACAGTGATCAACCTAAGAGTTTCACAGTGTGATACAGTAGAGCACGCATTGGATTTGGAAATGGTCCAAGATTTTAGGCCCTGCTCTGCCACCTAACAAGCTGTGTGAGCTTGAATAAATCGCTAAACTTCTCTGGGCCTCAAATATAAAGTACAGGCTATCCTAAGAAGCTCATCATCAGAGTCTTCCCGACAAGGCAAGCACATAAAATTAAAGGAAATATACCTGGCTGAGGGCTGGGGACCATGGTCTTGGGGAACATCTAGCTCAATTGGCATAACATAGTTTATTAAAAAAATGTTGAACATCCCACTTTGGTAAGTAGCGTCTGGGGTCTTAAAAGCTTGAGAGCGGCCATCTAAGATACTCTACTGGTCCCACCCCATCTGGAGCAAAGGAGAATTGAAGAAAACCAAAGACACAAGGAAAGATTAGTCCAAAGGACTAATGGGCCACAATTACCACAGCCTCCACCAGACTGAGTCCAGCACAACTAGATGGTGCCTAGCTACCACTACTGACTGCTCTGACAGGGATCACAATAAAGGGTCCCAGACAAAGCTGGAGAAAAATGTAGAATAAAATTCTAACTCACAAAGGAAAAAATAAGACCAGACTTACTGGTCTGAGAGAGACTAGAGAAACCCCGAGAGTATGGCCCCCAGACACCCTTTTAACTCAGCACTGAAGTCACTCCTCAGATTCACCCTTCAGCCAAAGATTAGACAGGCCCATATAACAAACAATAACACCCATAGTTCAACCACGTGTACGAGACTAAATGGGCACACCAGCCCAGGGGCAAGAACGAAAAGGCAGGAGGGGACAGGAAGGCTGGACAAATGGAAATGGGGAACCCAAGATCAAGAAGAGAAGAGTGTTGACACATTCCAGGGTTGGCGACCAATGTCACAAAACAATATGTGTATTAATTGTTTAGTGAGAAACTAATTTGCTCTGTAAAACTTTACATAAAGCACAATTAAGAAACAAAATAACTACAACGACAAAAAAAAATTAAAGGAAATAGTCATTTTTGAAGTAGAGAGACTTCACAGCAGGGAGAAAAACTTGTGACCATCCATCACAGGACAGTCCTCCGCTCTGGTTTTCCTTGCTATTAATATTCATTTCGGCACTAATTCCTGAAAAAGGAGGAATATAAATCAATTTTCAAGTCAGACATAGAGGTGCATTAAACATTTGGTCTATAAAAATAGGGTCTTTGCCTTTCTGTTATCAATCTTTGCAGCAAGCAGTCTGTCTTATTCTTAGATTTAAATGTATCAGTGATTATCCTGCTGCTCTAATCACCTGCTCAAAAAATATACATAAAATAATGGTGTGACTGTCACACGAAAACGTGTTCTGGAGTTTTGTGAGTTTCTGTGGTTGTCTACTTTTACCATCTTTCAACATGTGTAACTGCTTGCAGTATCTGGCACTGATGTGGAGGTGAAGTGGAAGATGAACAGACAGTGAAGAACATGGGTGCGTGTTGTACCCAGAAGAGCCAGAGGAGGAAGCCCTGTGGGATAACTGAGTTATGTGCTGTGTGCTCAGTTTCCTCTTACTCTCCATTCTAGGAATCCCACGATCCTGGGCTCAGAAAGAAGAAATGTCTATATTCCAGGACAGATAGAAACGCAAAGAACCACTTGTTGGGGAATTCAGTCCAACAAACATACACTGAATTCCTGCTGTTTACCAAGCACTTTGGTAGTTGCTGTTGTTAGTTGCCGTTGAGTCAATTTCAACTCATGATGACCTCATGTGTGCAGAGCAGATTGGTTCCATAGGGTTTTCAAGGCTGTGAACTTTGTGAAACAGGTTACTAGGCCTGTCTTTTGAGGCACCTCTCGGTCAGTTCAAATTGCTAACCTAGTATTCGAGCACTTAACAGTTTGCACCACCCAGGGACTCCTGATAGTTGCTAGGAATATGAATTGGGTAAGACCTAGTCTCTGTCCCAGAGAACCTCATGGTTGAGAGTAGTGACGGAAAGAAACGACCACAAATCACTCCTCAAGTTGTCAGCTAATGTTTGATGGGTGAGAGAGTTGTCTAGACAACAGTTTTCTCTTTTGGAAAATGACTTGAATGATACAACAGAAAACACAGTTTTAAAGCTAGAGTTGACTCTAAATTGGAGTTGCTAAAATGTCTGGAAAGAGAAATTGTGTTCAAAGAGACTACAACAATTTGGAGAAAGTGTTTAAGTTCAAAGGGGATAAATGTAAGTTGATATCTCCAGGCCAAAATCAAGTTAACAGAGTTACAAGTAGGGGAATGAATGTTATTCCAGTTTAACAACTAAAACCAAAACTAAACCAAACCCACTGCCAATTCCAGTCGATTCTGACTCACAGCAACCCTATAGGACAGTAGAACTGCCCCCATAGGGTTTTTGTGGCTGTAAATCTTTATAGAGGGAGACTGCCACACGTTCCTCCTGCAGAGCACAGAGCAGCCAGTATGTTCCAATCAGCTTTTGGTTAGTAGCGGAGCCCTTTAACCACTGTCCCCAGGGCTCCTCAGTTTAACAACCTCAAGGGCAGTGGTGGCACATTAAGTAGAGAGTCTAGGTACAGGTCCTGCTCTTCCTCCTCTTCCCCGACCCAGACTTAATTATAGTTACACCGGGACTTTCTAACCACAAAGACTGTTATTAAGTGTGTAGAGTGGATTTTCGACCCACAGTGACTGCATCTGACAGAGCAGAACTGGCCCCAGGCTTTAATCTTTACCAGAGGAAAGGGCCAGCCGTTGGAACCCACCAGCCCGCTCAGGGGCAGAAAGATTTGGCAGTCTGCTTCCATACCCTATGGGGCAGTTCTGCTCTGTCTTTTAGGGTCACTATGAGTCAGAATCCACTTGATGGCAACAGGTTTGGATTTTTGGTTTAATCTTCAGGTTTTTGGGTTAATCTTTACAGGAGCAGATCCCTAGATGTTTCTGCTGCTGAACGGCTGCCTAGGTTCAAACTGCCAACCTTTCTGTTAGCAGCCGAGAGTTTAACCAGCAACCGAGAGCTTAACCGGCTCCTTCCACACAGATTAGACTTGCGGAAATTCCTTCTTGGTTTTCCTCTTATTTTACCACCGATAGGAAATCTCACTGTACTTAAAAAGACCAGGCTGCCATGGTCAATCCCAACCAGAGACTTGGTTCTTGATTCTTTTCCAATAGCTGAAATCTTAGCTACGAAGTTAATGTGAACTATTCACACCAGAAGCGAAGTCCCTGAATCACTTTAATGACCCATTTTCTTCAGACTCCGGGTGCGAAACCCATCGGCACCCAAAACTCGGTTTGGCTTCTCATCCAGACGGGAGTTAAATTATTTAGAGACCTTCTCGCCTGGCAGTGATCTACCCTCAAGTGAGCTCAAGATGCTGGCATGAAGCTTGCCTCTTCCCCAGGGCGCCCACTTGGACTGGTCCTCCCTCCCTCGCCATCGCTCGGGTCTGAGCGCGTCTCTGCTGCGTCCTTCCTCCTCGTCCCCCTTCGCCTCTGCTACCGCGGCCCCGCCGGCCTTGCCTCCCCGGTGCCAGCCCAGGTGGAATGTGGAGGACGAGGAGGCCGGGCGCTGACTGGGTCGCGGCGAGAATTCGCCTGGCCCGCTGGCCGAGGTGTCGGCCCGGTATGGGTCGAGAAGAGCTCCGCGAAGGGGCCGCGGCCACGCGGGCGGGGGCTGGGGCCACCGAGGTGCAAGATGAGGCGCTTCCGTAAGGCAGAAGGGCGAGGAGGGCGCGCGTGCCGGGCAGCGCCCGGCGGCACCCGGGGGAGCAGGGCGCGCGCCCGCGCGGTGGGCGGGAATCCTGAGGGGACGC